ACTTACGGTGAGTGACTTACCTTCCGAGAGTGAATCCCACAGCTATGATCTACCCTGCCCTCCTCTCCAACTTTGTTGGCACCTTTTCATGATTCAGCTGGTATAAGTGAAAAGATTGTCGAAATTGCTCCGCATTTGCTTCGTGCTCGCCTTTTTTGACTCCTCATCCCGAATACTATCGATGGCTTTCTTTCTATATGATTGAAGGCACGGTTCGCGTTCAGGTATCAAAGTTGAAAATATGGCATCAGTTGGGTTGGAGTGGTCCGCGACGAACAACCTTGTACCGGTTTTTCGCGGCAAAAAATTCTATGGGAGGGGCTGTAGCGCAATATAGGTTCAGTGGGTCCTCCTTTTTTCCAGTGACTCCGCCTCCAGACTCCGCCCCTAATGACCGACTTCCAGTGGAAAATGAGATTGCAGGACGAAAAAGCATGATAATCGCCACTTGTACGATCGTAGAAATCTTATCGGTGAATCAGCCGTGCATATGAGGGCGTAGTTTTGGAGATAGAGTTGATTGGGCACGTACAAACTGGGATCGAAATGGGGTTCTATCTAGGGCAGGTGGCATGTTTTTGTGCTTTTTTTTGTTCACAGTCGAGTTACTCAACCCCTTGTCGTCTATATGGAACCCCCTAATCCACCATCTGAGATGGCGAGTAATCGCGGGTTCTTCCTTTAACACATCGTTAGCAACATCACTAGGATGATCTTCTAGAATGCGATTACACGTCCGAGCAATACACACGCCAGAAGTGAAATACATGTGCGAAGTGTGCGATCGTCTGTTCAAAACGACAGCGGAGAGAAGACATCACATGACTCGAATGCATATGAGTAAGTCTAGAATTTCAAGTGAAAGAAACAGATGAAAACTATTGTCATCGATTTTCAGAGGAGCGTTTGGTTGCCGACCGCTGGAGGAATGTAATTCGCACGGTAGACTGTCCTTAGTCGTCATATGAAAGTGTTGATAAGGGGAAATAAACATGTCGCAGACGTTACTGTCACGTATTCTCTATGTGATCTCCGTTAGCAGACGGAAAAATTGTTATTCGTCGCCAAGATCAACCTTGACTCCACATTTGCTTCAGTTGTAGTCTTATAGGTTTATTCCGTCGCTGCTTTCGTAGTCAGATTCCAAACGAATTCACTTCTGTTCAACTTGCTAACATAGTGCTGAGGTGGGTTCAGCTCATTCCTGGATTTTCGGTAAGGGGAAGCTTGCTGAGTTGAACGTGCTGGAAAAAGTATAGATAACTTTGCTCAAACGGTTCGCCGAGAAATTTGTCTGGCTTCGGTTGTGTAGCACTGCTTTTATTGAACATGCTTCGCATGACTATCCATTAAAAAATGTGTACTACTCATAATAGAGTGCTATTTTTGAAAGTGTGGCAAGACAATCGTAACCCCCTGCGCGGGTACGCATGGCCAGCGACGCCGCTTGTCGCACGCGGCAAGTAAATTGTAGTTGCATACACGATGGTCTAATATCAAGTCATTCTCGCAAGAAGTGTGGACGGACAAGCGATATCATAATTTAGGCAGCGTTCAGACTTGTCGCGCTTAAACGCGCGTTGATTGTCGCGCTTCATTTGTCGCTGTTGCTTGTAATTGAACACGCTACAATTACAGCGCTCCAATTGTACCAGACCCCAGCTTCCCTTTATGTTCTTTCTTCCGGTATTCAATCCCTTTTTCACTGTTTCTCATTTCTACCTGATTCTTAGCTCCTCTTTTTCACTTTGACATTGAATTTTAATGTAGTTTTTGATACAGGACACTGTGATAATGATTTTGTATACCGTTTAAAAAAACTCGTCGTCAAAAACTTCACAAAACGTCGTCAAAAACGTCAGTGAAAAAGAGGAGCTAAGAATCAGGTAGAAATGAGAAACAGTGAAAAAGGGGTTGAATACCGGAAGAAAGAACATAAAGGGAAGCTGGTCTGGTACAATTGGAGCGCGCTTGTAATTGTAGCGTGTTCAATTACAAGCGACAGCGACAATTGAAGCGCGACAATCAACGCGCGTTCAAGCGCGACAAGTCTGAACGCTGCCTCAAGGGGCGCTAGATTCTTTGTTGTTGTGAAACACCCTATGCGAGAGACGCATCCATTGCCGTGGCGACAGGTGCGGCGAACCACGATTGTCTTGCCCACTCCCCCCCACTCCCGTTTAGCTGCTGCAGGAGGTTGTACCACATAAACGTCGACCTGAGAGCAAACGAACCATCCGCATTTCACTGTTGTTTTTTCTTTTACTTTTTTTTTTGTTAGAAGCGACTCTTCTTTAACCGCTTAACTTTGCTGTTTTTTATTGGGTGTTGCTGCTATGTGGTACGAGCAACAAATGCGGTTTTGAATGTGTTATGAACCTTTCAACTGTAGTTTTTTAATTGTGAGACAATTTCATGACAGGCGTTGTTCTCTTTCCCCATCATAGCGCGAGTTTGTAGCTTGGGCAATACTTCAAAAGAGCTTTTTTCGTAAGGAATTCTCTGGTTCCACGTATTGTTCCAAAGGATATAATACGTTTGTGTGTTTGTTTGGTGTTCTCAACGCAGTGGCAAGTAAAGTTTGTGCAAAATATGTATCAAATTTTTTATTCAGAAAATCTTCCTTTTTCGTTTTTTGTAGTCGCCTATCGGCAGATTGTTGATCCAGTGCTACATGGCCAGCTGTCACGAGCGATACTGTGATCAGATATTTACTGTCCACTTGTTATGCATAATTATAGTTTTATTCGCTGCGGATAATAATGAATGCCAAGGGGGTTGTTTGGCGCGGCGCCAGTCCGCGTACGCCTTTTCTTTTTTTTTGGCCAGGCGACTAGAAATTATCCTTCGTATTCTATTTCTATTTTCCTAATTCTCATCTATTTTTATTTTTGGTCTATTTTCATCACATGGCCGCTCACGCGCTTCGCCAACTGGAGAGAATGATCTGGTGGCGCGCCAAATCCAGCCCTACTGACGCGGCGCATCATCCGCTGCCAATAGGATTGTAAAACCTGTTTGTGAACTACTGCTTGGACAGCAAACCACGTAAATGGCAACTATACTATCTCAGAAACGAAAAAGAAGGCAGAATTCGTACTGGCTTTAGTTTGTTCCCTATCTATAGTCTAGCTACGGTAATTTGAATTTGCTTAGTTTTTCTGCCGAAAAATGTAAACTTTCTGTCGGGTCATTTACGCAGTATATGGTAGAAAGAGTCATGAGCAACATTCAGGGGTTATGGGTGTTGTAGGCGTACTCTCTCCATCCCAATTTTGGTGATCCACCCACACCATGGCCGTAGGGCAGGAGTCTTTGACCATACCGCCTACTGAGACTATGCCAGAATCAGCTTTTCACGTATGCCATCTTTTCGCGAGTATATGACATCTCGGGTATCCTATCTCAGGACCCATAGGTAAACTTCTGGGTTCCGTTTGATTGACAAGTGCTGTCTTAGCTGGTTCGTGCATCATCCTAGTTGCTTTGGTTTGGAGCTCTTGAAACTCACTGATTGAAGCGGTATCACCTCCATCCTGATGAAGACGGCTTTTCCCAATCTACTGGTAAAAATTCAAAGAATGATTTCGAGAATTATCTTCACTGTCACTTAGAAGTGCGGTAAGAAGAAATTTTATGTCCGAGACCTCAAATGAGAATTTAATGGCAGCGCTTGCTATCAGGGCGAATTTATGTGTGTCACGTCCAGACATTGTGCAGATAATGGAATAGCAGTTTTAATGGAGATGGTCTGTCCTATTAAGAGACGAGGGAAGGGAAGTGAGACTATTGCATCCGCTCAAATGCGCTTAACAAAGAGTGAGTGAGGCAATGTGCAGTAAGAGGGCTCCCTCCCTGGGGATCACCACACAAATGCGAACATTCCACATCGATATGCAAGCGATGACAGCTGTATTGATGAGTGTGGCACTACGACAATTACTATCTCTTCTCTCCTGAGGATGGAGTAAGGAAGTAGGAGACAGATTCATGCTGTTCGGCAGAGGTTGATGTAGGCTTAGAGCGAATGACCTGTCTAGCCTGAATGGACAGTGGAACCAAAGACACGTTCGGATCAGTAAATAAGGTTATGACCTTCTCAACTAAGTGAGCATATCCGGAGGACGATTGCGACAGCCTTCAAATGTGAAAATCGGCAAGATATCCACTGGAAGATAGCCAATTAGGCCCATGGGACCCCTTAGCCTCATGCCAAGTTGTGGTCGATATAGAGTCCTATGCAGGACATTCGGACTGTTTTTCTGCTGCTTTTCTCCGCTAATTAGTTACCTGGAACTTTTTCGTTTATATGTGAGCTCCATACCCGCAATCTGCGGTCGGGCTCTACCTTGAGATCAGTGTCTCAAAGTTGGCATCTGTAGAGTTCAGTTAGACAAAACATTAGATAAATTAAGTCTAAGGGCAATACCAGGTCACAAAATCTGTGCCTACTTCTCCTCCTATGTGGCCAGTCAAGTACGAAAATTGGGATCATCTGTGTAATCATATGGTGTCATTCCCCATAAATTTAGGAAATGTCCCACCGCCAAGGGAAATAGTGCTGAACTGAAGTCTGTAAACGGAATACTGTTAATGATAGGCTGAAGTTTAGGCAGAGTAGAATGTGCGGCGCACGTCAGCTTAGTTGGGGCCTGACCCCGCAAGTTTTTTTTGAGGATGGGGAGTCAATGAAAGGCTAAAGGAACCCTCTCATCAAAGACTTCCTCTCGGCTGAGCAGTGCGTAATGGGTTACTACCGACCATTAGTTTCTAAAGCCGGAATTCTTCAAGGCTCCACTGCAGGTAAAGCAGCTCGCAATCGTTCCATACTCCACCAAAATGCATTTGCTCAAGAAATGCATTTTGGTCAGTATGGAACGATTGCGAGCTAGGAGAAGAGGACCCCTACCTAACAATAAGACGAGGAAAAAGCTTGGGAATGATTGAACTGAGTGCTTTGCCATAGTTTTGAAGACAATCCCCATGCTCAATTATTCGTAGGTGTCCTTCCTCATGCAAGTAGTCTGGCCCCATTCTCTGAGATTATCCCTTTTTCGCAGCCTCACACTTAGTAACAAAGTAGCTGTGACCCTCAAAAGTGGCAGTTTTGACGCCTCCCTGGTTGTTCTGCCCTCGGAAACTGAAAATGCAGGGCCTGACCAAGTTGAGGATAGAGAGATGAGTCTCAGAGGGTCGACAACAGGCTTGCAGCTAACGCCACTATCCACATTACGTAATCGTGGGGTTTGCCTTCAAGGCTCTATCCTGCTAAGAAGCACACTTTGTAAAAGAAACGCATTTTGGTCCAGTAAGAAACAATCAAGAGCCAGAAGATGAGGATTTTTGCCCAGCCAGAAGATGAGGATTTTTGCCCAAGTTCAGGAGACAAGGAAAGCTGCCAGAGGAAAGAGCTCAGTGATGTTTCAGCTGAGTCCTTTTTTAAGATGCCTTTTTTAACACCTCTTGCAGCAGTGCACCCTTCCTGGACTGCCAGTAGGTAGCGGGATTCTACTGAACTTTCACAAAACGTGAGCTCTGATTTCTATCCACAAATGTGTAGGCATTTGAGAGCAGGCTCCCTTAGGAGTCAAAATTATACGCTTTTCTTACCCTCAATACTA